CGTGACACCCACCCACACCCATACTCACACCCTCCATCAATTCACCTGGCAATCGAAGATGAAAATTTTGATTGTGAGCGAATGCTCATTTATGGTTTTGCTGAAGAACATGGTGAATACTTAATCAGTAAAATGTACATTATTGTAAGTAAAATGCATATTATCAATCCATATTTACGAATAGGGGCAAATGATATGAAACCATCAGTTCGTGTTGATGACATTTCTTCTATTGTAATGCAAAGTGAATCTGAACGGATATTGAATATGTGTCGATGTTGTTGCGAAGCAAATGCATCGAAGGTTTGCAGCAAATGTCAGCAAGCTCATTATTGCTCAAAATAATGTCAAATCATTGACTGGAAATTATATAAACATAAATTTATATGTAAAAACAAATGAATATGATGTATGAATCATGTTTTGTTATAACTATCTAGTTTCATGTAATTTAGTCAAGAATTACAAATTATAAAAAATAAAACGCTTTTGTACCTAAAATACAAAGATTTAGGTGAGGGTGTGAGGATGAGTCAAGCATACTACGATTCAGATTTCGACCTTGCTTAAGGGTCTTCATCTGATAGTTTTAACTGTATAGTACTCGTGCAAAATGATTTATGTAAAAGGAACTGTTTTAAATATAGTATATTAATCTTTGCAGAGTTCAGCTGAGGTCTTTGAAAAGAAATGTAATATGATGGGATTGACGTAGTTTGGTAAATATTGTTTCAAGTCTGGAATGTTTTAGATTTCTGTTTTGTTGAATGTCGAAGTGTTGTATGATGTACTGAATGATTTCATCCATATTGAGTCTTATGTTCTAAGCTGACATGTAATTTTGATATGGTGTCGGTCTTTGTCGTTTTCATTGCTTTTTAGTAGTTTGTAGTGTTGATGCCGGTGGTTTTATTTATTCTGTTTTATTAGCAATGATAGATACATTGGTTCGTATTTTATCTAGAATATATGAGGAAGCTTTTTATGAGTTGTTAGTTTTTAAGGTTTTGTTTTGTTTTGTTTTTATTAAGTGTTACGATAAAATTCCTTTGCACTGTTAGTTTACAATGATATGAAGAAGGGAAAGATGAGACAGTTTTTTTTTTTGAAAATTTTGGATAAAAGTTTCTATTGTTATTTAGTTGAATTATGTTCATTGTTTTGTTTGTTGATTTGTTTTGGTTCATAAAGACTTCGCCAGACCAGTTTCTTGATCAAACTAGGATTGTTTCGAGTACCCACGATAAGTTTTGTTTTCATCACTGATGTTTACTGAAATTGCTTTAGTGAATTCGATCGTTGTTGCCGTTGTAGCAATTTTGATTGGACTAATGGATCAGATTATGATTGTGGATTATTATAAACCCTTCGCCCCGCAATAGAAGGTCCTCTCGGATTAAAAGGTCTCCCCTAATTAGAAGCCCCCCCCCCCCCCCCCCCGCCGCAGCGGGCGCGGACGGTGCAGGGCGGGGGCCCCGATCTTGGTCTGGTCTTTCTTTTTTTTTTTTCTGTCTTTGGTT